GCTGCCGCTGACACAGGAGCTCGCAGGGGGCATCTCCCCACAGACACCCCAATTCTACCAGCGCCCACCCGCGTCTCCCAAGTCCCACCCGGCTGCTGTGGGGCTGGCTGGGGCCGTTGCTCCCTTGGAGCCCCTCCTCGCCCCCCTGGGGTGCTGCCAGCACCCTGGGGTGCAGCTGGCAGGGCAGAGCTGGGGTGTTGGGTGCATGCTGTGCATTCTGCTCTGTCCGGGGGGTGTGTGTGCTCTGCACCCACTCCCACTTGGGGGACACCCGGGCAGGGTGCACCCACCCCCCCAGCCGGGATGCCCACCACCTATAGCCAGGTCCCTGCTGTCGGGGCAGGGCTGGGATCCCCCTGAGCTGCAAAGGCCCCGGCAGGTCCTGCTCCCCACCGGCCCCGGGTCTCCTAAGGGCGCTGTGGGTGAGTGTGGTGCGTGTTGCCGGCCAGGAGGCAGCTGTCAGCCCTGGGCACATCTCGCTTCCCGGCATCCGCTGCAAAGGAGCCCTTCTTGCCAAAGCTGCTGAGAGTAGCACAAATGGTTCTCAGGAAGGCGAGTGCTGGGGCCAGGCCTCCCCCCCAACCCCTCCTTCCAACATTGAGCCCTGGCTGGGCAGTGGGCACCCTCCTACACCCCAATACATGGGACTGAGCTCACCCCGTCGTCCCCAGCCTCTCCATCCCGTGGGCACCAGGTGTGCCTGCCACTTGGTGCCAGTGGAAGCAGCATCCCTGCTGCAGGACCCGGTGCCTGGGTGTGGGATAAAGAGTGATGCTGGGGAGTGGCTGCATCGGGCAGGGATGATAGGAACCGTCCTCTGGCGGTGGCCCAGCCTGGCTGAGCCAGGGGCTGTAAGGATATTGCACCGGAGCCCGGCCCTGGGCTGGTGCCCAGGGATGCTGTTCTTTCGCCCAGCCGGGATCCCTGTGTTTAGTCTGGGATTCCCCCCCGCCTTGAGCCTGGTCCTGGAGGGTCCGAGCATCCCCTCCCCCTGCCCGGCCCCGCGGAGGCTGCTGGGGCCCATTACTCGATCGGAAAGGAATTTGGTGCTGCTTTCTGAGCACGCCGACTCCCTGGAGCTCCCAGCCACATTGGAAACATATGTGCCCAGGCTGGGGAGGGTGGGCTGGGGCAATGCTTCCCCTCCCCAGCTGTGGTGTGGGGAGCATGCAGCTGTGGTTCCCCCAGGTGCTGGCACCCATGAGCGCTGCTTAGGCGAGCAGTGGGGCCATGCAAGGGCAGCAGGGCAGCTATCCCCTTGGTAGGGTGATGGAGGATCCTTGCTGGAGTTCCCTGGCTGCAGGCAGCCCTCCTCCCTGCTCCCTCCGGTGACCCACATTCACAGAGGGGTCGGAAGGGGGTCGTACGGGCTGGATGAAGGGATTAAAGCCTGTAGAAGGGGGTAAGTGATGCATGATGCTGCCTGCACCCACTCTGGCACGGCTGGGCTGGGCTGCCAGAGCTTGTGGTGATGCTGTTGGGCTGTGGGTCCCTGGGGGCATCCTCAGGGATGCTGCTGATCCCTGCACAGCCTCGCTGGCCCCCAGACTGGAAATGTCTGGATCCACCGTCCCAGCGTGGGTCAGCCTGTGCCACCGGGCTGCGTGCAGGACAGGGCTCTGTATCTGTGGTGATGGGATGATGGGACCCTGCTGAGCCCTGGCTGCCCTGGGAGCACCCCTGGGTGCAGGTAGCAGCACTGTGCTCGGGTGCCAGCCTGCATGGCAGGGTTCTGGGGTGGGGAGTGCAGAGGCAGTGGTTGCCCTCAGCACCCACTCACAGGCTTCCCAGGCAGTGATGCCATGGTTCTGCCCTACTTATTTCCTCCTGTCTGCAGGCAGCTCCATCCCACCCTGCAAGCCCCCAACCCCTCCCTGTGCCTTCCCCAAACTGCTGCCATCTCCCCCCATTCCTGGAGGACTGCAGCAGGTCCCCCAGGCCGGGACTCTGGTTGCAGGCAGGGGCTGCGTATGCTGGACTTCCTCAGCACAGGCATTGCAGCCGGCGCTTTGCAGCTGCTTTCCGGGTTCCAGGCTGGAATCTGGCGCCGGCTGGTGCAGCTGATTAGCGGGATCGGGATGTACGGATTAAAGTAAATCTTGTTGGTGCAATTATCTGTGTCCTGCTGCCAGGGATTCAGGGGGCGGTGGGTGCCAGGGGGGGGAGGCCCCCTCTGTGTTAGACACCTACCTGCCTGTTTTTCAGCTGCTGGGGTCCACAGCCCTGCTTTGGGGGTGGCTCTGCCTGTAGGGGCCCCTGATTCCCATCCTGAGCTCAGTCTCCATCTGGAAGCTGGGATCTGGGGTGAGGGTGGCTCTGCCCAGCACCGCAGGGGTTTTGGCACTCTGGCAAGCACCACATGGGTGCCACCAGCCCAGTGCTGATTGGCAGAGCTGCCTGCCCACCATGGTGCACAGAAGGGGGCTCCAGCACGGGTGGCCCCAGCTTTCCGGGCACAGTGCGTGATGGTGGCAGGCAGGTTTGGGTGCCTGCCAGGCCCCGCAGGTCCCCGCTGCCTGCCTGCCTCCCCCGCTCCCCTCTGCTAATCACCTCATCATCAGGGCGAGCTGCATCCCAGCTGGGATGGGGGGGTTACCATGACAACGGAGGATGCCGGTTGCCTAGCAACGTCCATCCCCTCGCCCACTTGCCCTGGACCAATTCCGTACGCAACCTTTCCCCCCACCGCCCGTAGCTGGCTGCATGCCCCTGGGGAGGTGCAGGCTGGTGGGGGGCCCTGTGATGCCTCAAGGGGGCTGGCCAGAGCATGGTGGGAGTGAGAGGGGGTTTCCCATCTGCCGGGAACGGTTTCCAAGGAACAGTCTCCATGACAGCCCCATCACACCCTGGTGGCACATTGATTTGCTGCTGCTGGTGCTTCGGCGTCCTCCCCCAGCCTGGTGCCTGCTGGGCTGGTGGCTCACGCAGGCAGGCACGTGAGAAGCCCCGAGTTCCCTGTGGGGGCCCAGGGCTGTCCCAAAGCTGGTCAGTAACTGGTGGGGTCGGGGGGGGACAGGGATGAATGGACAAGGAGCTGCGAGGCTTTGGTGACTGGCAGCACGACATGGCAGCCTGTGGGTGATACCTCCCAGCTGTTCCCTGTGCCCAGGTGGCCCCTCTGTCCCCAGCCTTGGGATCCTGCCCCACAGCTGCCTGCCGGCAAGGACTGGAATAGGCCGTGCCTTCAGTCCTGTCTGCACTGCCTGGCAGCCTGGCCTCTTGCAGTGGTGATGGGCAAGGGGTCGGGGAGGCTGTGTGGCAGCTTGGGGACACATGGCCTGGGACCTGCTCTGTCCTCAGTGTTAGCAGGATGGGAAGATGAGGGGCCAGTCCATTCTCCTCCTGGCCATGGCTTACCCACGCTGTCTCCCCAGGGCCCTCTACACATATGAGGATGGCTCTGATGACCTGAAGCTGGCAGCGTCGGGAGGTAAGGTCCCCTGTCCCCACAGCCAGCTCGGCTCTGCTGGCGTTTTCCCTGGCACCCATCCCGGTGCCAGGTGGACGTAGGCTGATAGTGCTGTGCCAGGTGGAGGTTTGCTGGAACTGTCGGGCCACTTTGAGATCCAGAAGGTGATGTATGGCTTCTGCAGTGTCAAGGACCCCCAAGCTGTGCTCCCCAAATACGTCCTCGTCAACTGGGTGAGTGAGGGGGCAGGCTGTGGGTGCCTATGCCCACCAAGGCTGCTGTATTGGCAGGGGCATGGTTGGGTGCAAGGGAGGGTCCCATGGTGGCTGGGAGGATGCAGAGGCCCCGGAGTCCTGCTGCCTCATGGTGTCCAGTGGGGTGGGGAGTCACCCTGCCACCCCTCCCTGGCTCAGCCCCTCCTGGGTTGCCGCAGGTGGGCGAGGACGTGCCGGATGCCCGCAAGTGTGCCTGTGCGAGCCACGTGGCCAAGATCGCCGAGTTCTTCCAGGTGGGTGACGCTGGGGAGGGGGACAATGCTGCCAAGGCACTGACCCCAGTCCCTGACAGCTGCTTGCCCTCCCTTCGCCCCAGGGTGTGGATGTCATTGTCAATGCCAGCAGTGTGGAGGACATCGACCCGGGGGCCATTGGGCAGCGGCTCTCCAATGGGCTGGCCCGTGTCTCCAGCCCAGTGCTGCACCGCCTGCGGCTGCGGGAGGACGAGAACGCCGAGCCCGTGGTAATGTCCCCATGGCAGCTGTGGCGATGGTTGCAGGGCGTCCCTCCCATCCAGGGCTCCTCTTTGCCACGGCCCATCACCCCCTGTGCCACTTAACTGTTATTCCCCCTGGCTGATCCCAGCCCCTCTGCCCCCCCTGCCTCTCCTCTGTCCCAGGGCACCACTTACCAGAAAACCGACGCCACCGTGGAGATGAAGCGGCTCAACCGGGAGCAGTTCTGGGAACAGGCCAAGGTGGGGTACAGGGGGGTGCAGCTGGTGGCCCTGGACGGCCCATCACCCCCTGTGCCACTTAACTGTTATTCCCCCTGGCTGATCCCAGCCCCTCTGCCCCCCCTGCCTCTCCTCTGTCCCAGGGCACCACTTACCAGAAAACCGACGCCACCGTGGAGATGAAGCGGCTCAACCGGGAGCAGTTCTGGGAACAGGCCAAGGTGGGGTACAGGGGGGTGCAGCTGGTGGCCCTGGGGAGCGGGGTGAGCTATTGGTGGGCTGACATCCTTCATTCCCCCC